TCTCTCTCTCTCTCTCACTCAAAATTCCAACTTTGGAGTAGATTTCTTTTCAATTACTATGTAAAAATTTTTTTCGAATACCTAGTATTAGATTAATTCTTACATAGAGTTGATCTTCATATACTACTATTCATGCCACTTGATAATCTTTATCTGCAAAAGTGAAATACTTTTACTGTATCGTGGTAGTTTGTCTCACCCTCACCCCTGGATTACCATAGGCAAGATGATTTGGTGGACACATGTTACGTTGAAATTTCTGTACACGAAGAATAATAACATTTGCTTTTTTTGTGAATACATTCTTTTCAGGCATAAATATCGTTCAATAAAAACAAAAAAGTGATCCATATTCATTGAATTCATTAAGAATCCTTCTCGATATTCTATTGTTTTTTTTTCTCTTTTGTTTCAGATATTTCAAATAACTGATCAGTACAAGTACATTACTATTGCCTATGGATAATCAAGGTCGTTCGAATGAACAACTTGCACCGACGCGAGCTTTAACGGAACAAGAACCACAGGAAAAAAAACACAAGAAAAAATGTCGTGGTAATCGAAAAGCACAACGTCAACGCCGGCGTCTAAAACGCCGACAAGCTATCGTTGCAGCTACTAATATGAATTTACCTGATCAACATCAAATTTATTTTCATCAAGGACAACAATAGCAACGAGAAAAAAATCAGTATCAAAAGGATGAAGAAATACAAGAAGATATATCCAATGAAATCAAAGTCTGTTTTGTTGGCACATACGTACTATTCATTTTCATCTATTTTCATATAGATAGCTCTATCCCGACAACAGTATAAAAATGATCAAAATAACAATCATGATATAAAAGAAGCAATGAAACGTAAAAGAAGTCAAACACAATCCAACGTATCATCCACCACCATTGATAAATTGTTAAGTCAATTGTCAATTTCACAACCATCTGCAAAAAAAACAGAAGATAAATAATGATAATAATATGATCAATGAAATCAATGAACAAACAATAGAACAAAAGCCATATTTACCATTGAAAGAAAAATCGAGGAATGATTTACCTGATTATTTAAAAGTATCCAATCGTATATTTCGACAAATGTTAATTAGTTCATTAGAAGATGCTGATACTATTGTCAAACGATTAAATACAATTGAAAAACTTAATTTTGCTCGCCAATATGCTCATCTATTTCATCGTCTTTTCTATGTACAATTACAACAAGATCAATGGAAATATTACTATAATATTGATATAAAAGAAAATATTTGGTCAGGACGTGTATCAACAAAATGGGCTCTCATGAATAGTATGTGTCATACATATGGACGATCAAAACAATTAATTGAACAACATCTTCATATAACTGCACGACAACTTCAAGAAGCATCACAAAAAATACAAGAATTTTCTAATCAACCATTACCTCCATGTATATTAGAAATGAATCCTCCATTAGATTTTCCATTTTTTGTTGCTATTATCACAGCTTTTGTTCGTAAAGGTCAATATAAAATAAAACAACAATTTGAATCGAAGAAAAAAATGTTAATATTAGATTCAACTGATCATCGTTTAGTACAAGCTATTTATAATTTAAAACCAACTAAACAACAAATTCGTGCCATTCGTAATCGATGGAAAGCAATCTATAATAAAATACAAATCAAAGAACAAATTGAAATATTAAAACATCGAATACATTCCAATCGTTTACCACCTGCATTCAATCTTCTTGATTATTCTCTTGATGAAATTGAAAAAATATTAACACGATCACCAAAATCTTCCGTTACTAATAGTACGGATCAAGAAACCGTTCTATCTGCTCGTCGTTTAAAAAAAATTGGTCGATTCAAATATGATATACTTGAATTAAGTATAGCAGCTGGTGAAAAAAAAGAACGATATTGGTCAAAGAAAGCTAAAATTGAAACAAAAAAATGATTAGCTACCAAAGATAAATTAAAAAAGCATGCTTTATTTCCAGACTTATTTCAACAATTAATAGTTGCTGTTGAAACACGTGAACAACATATGTTAAAACGTGCTGATTATTTAAAACAAGAAAAATTAAAATCTTTTTTTGACGATGCTCCGACACCAGAAAACGATATAATGGACGACAACAGCAACGATAGTGTCGGAGCAATCAATCATCAAATACTCATCGTGGTTCTTGTCATCCTGTCAATATGTTTCTTTCATTATATTTTGTTAATACAATATTACCATTGTCCAATGAACAATTAATTATTATTAATAAAGGATTAAAATTTATACCACCATGTCAAAGTCATTTCTTTTATCGTCAACCAACAGAAAAAATTATTGAACGAGAATATCAACGTCTGTATAATGATAACGTTAAAAATTTATTTAATTATGCTTATCCAGAAAAAGATCAACGAGCAACGGATTATTTTACTTCAATAAAAAATTTACTTCAACAACTCTATACAAAACCATTACGAAAACAACTTAAAGCATGTGCTCGTTATATTTATTTCACGATCAAATCCATTCAACGATGTTTACGAAAAGCTAATGTTGTTGTTGGACAAACAGATAAAAGTAAATTATTTTTTTTCATGAATGCTCAAGAATATGAAGAAAAAATTCAAAATTATATGACAAAGACAAATGCTTACGAAGAAATTACCAGTGGTATTTGTCCATTAGCCGATGATTTACATGCCGTATTAACTTTACTTGATTACTTATTAATAAATGATCGAATTACAAAAGAACAATATAAAGAAATGTATCCCGATTTAACTAAATTGGAATTAGCTCATATTTATTTTAATCTTAAAGTACATAAGGTAAAAAATTCTTTCTTTGTTGTTATTTCTTAGATAAGTATTTGATGCTTTTTTTATAGCCTGACATATCAGTTCGGCCCATTATTGCTTCAATCAATGCACCAGCTAGACTTATATCAAGTTTTCTTGAACAACTTCTTACTCCAATCTACAATGAAGTGACCAAAGATTTTACATTTATCAATGGTATTGATGTTGTTTGAAGATTAGAAAAATATCAACAAGATGGACATCTTACTTCAACAACTTTATTTCTTATATTTGATGTTAGTGATTTATATACAATGATACCACGTGATCGTGCTCTTGTTGTATTAGGTCGATTTTGTACCAAATATGGCAAAGATAGAAAAATTGGCAATCTTAATATAGATACGATTATTCGATTGGTCCGTATTGTTTTGGATACAAATTCATTTGCTTATAAAGATAAATACTATCGACAAATTAAAGGTGGTGCAATGGGTTCGCCTTTTACTATGGTATTAGCAAATATTTATATGTTCGAATGGGAACAAGACTTAATTCAACATCAAATAACACATCATGAAATCTATGGCCGGTATTTATTAGAGAATTTTCTATTGTTTTTTTTAATCATGTTTATCTATATTTGTAGATATATTGATGATGTATTCATGACAACCAACTTACCAAAAGAAAAAATTTTAGAAGAACTTGATAAAACGATAATCAAAGATTCAAACATTCAAATTTCTACAACGATTAGTAAAGCATTAGATTATCTCGATGTTTCTATCGAAAATAATAATGGACATTTAAAAACTACCGTTTATCATAAATCATAGCTTCAGAACCATATATTCTACCGTATGAATCTAATCATCCACGACATATTCATACTAATATACCATACAATGCATTAGTTCGAGCTGCTCGTCTTTGCTCTTCAATAGAAGATTTTGATATGGAACGTTTAAGTACAGAAATGATTTTATTAGTCAATGGTTATCCACCAAAATTTATACAATATCATATGAAAAATTTCTTTAAAAAATTTGATGCTATGACTGTTTGGACTGACTTAGATTGTGAAGCATATCAACAATTACATCATACATTACTTAACAAACCAACAAGACGAGAAAAACAACAAAATAGTGGCAAAAGTAATCATCAATCGATTCGAAAAAAGAAAAACTCTGAACAAAAAAATCAAATTTATGTTCATTATACAT